AAAATTCCCATAGCCGTATTATCAGAAGTTCCAAGAGAGTGGGGCTATGAACCCACTAATCAGGGAATGTACCTGGTCAGTAAGGTTTCACTGACCAAGGTGCTGACAACTGATCAGTCTTGCAATGAAATGCCCACCCTTGGCCTTTTACTAGCACTGAAATCTAACTAAGTAAGCTAACTGACCACTTCCAGCAACACCTAAATGATCATCCTTTCTTTATGTTTCTGAGAAGATGCCCTGGGAAAAGAGTATTCTACTTTTGTTATATCATTAGAAAAACTGGAGAACATCCAAAGAAGAGCAATAAAAATGACTAAAGGAATGGAAGGAGTGATATATGAAGACAGATTAAAGGAGTTAATATATATTATATAATCTGCCTTTGTGACAGTAAAGTGCAGTTCCAGTAACAGAGTCTGGACATTCAATTTGTCTTTGAGGAAGCCAGAAGCTTCGGTGGCTAACTGAACCCAAGACCTGGCAAAAGAATGCAGCTTGGAAACTCATGACCTGAGACTAAGTCCAGTCTTAAAGATGCTTCTCCTGAAAGGAACCTGGAAACTCGAATATCCTCCACAGACCTCCAAGAGCTTCACTAACCTTCAACACTCTCCAGTGGATCTTTGCTTTCTCCATCCAAGGGAACAGATCTGGGAAGGGAGATCTCACCATCCAGGAATGTGACAGGTTGAGGACTATGCATTGCATGGGGAACAGGGAGGGGGCCCTGTGCCCTGCAATTTGTCAGCGGCACAATTTGCAGCAGTGAGGATCGTATTGTCAGTTGTTGCTGACTGACAAGCATTTATTTAGTGCTTACTATGTACCAAGAACTGTGCTAAGTACTGGAGATATAATCAAAGGCCAAAATATGTTCCCTGCTCTCATGGAGCTCATGTTCTTATTTTTTTTTAAATAATTAATTAATTTATTTTTAGTTTTCAACATTCACTTCCATAAGATTTTGAGTTCCAATTTTTCTCCCCATCTCTCCTCTCCCCCACCCCAAGTGGCATGCAATTTGATATAGGCTCTACATGTAAGTACATTTTAAACCTATTTTCACATTAGTCTTGTTGGAAAGAAGAAGTAGAACCAGTGGGAGAAACCACAAGAAAAGAAACAAACAAAAAAAGGAAAAAAAAGAGAGAGAGCAAATAATATGTTTTGATCTGCCTTCAGACTCCATAGTTCTTTTTCAGGATGTGGACAGCATTTTCCCTTATGAGTCCTTTGAAACTGTCTTGGATCCTTGCATTACTAAGAAGAGATGAGTTTATTAAAGTAAGTCATCACACATCGTGGCTGTTATTGTGTACAATGTTCTCCTGGTTCTGTTCACTTCACTCAGTATCAGTCCATACAAGTCTTTCTAGGTTTTTCTAAAGTCCGCATGCTCATCATCTCCTATAGCACAATAGTTTTCCTTGATAATTTCTTGAAAAATGATGTTGAGGGTCTTTTTTTAAATTTTGGTTTTCAGGTAGTTCAATAATTCTTAAATTATCTCTCATTGATATGTTTTCCAGGTCAGTTGTTTTTCCAATGAGATAGCTAATATTTTCTTCTATTTTTTTCCATTCTTTTGATTTTATTTTATTGTTTCTTGATGTCTTATAGAGTCATTAGCTTCCAGGTGCTGAATTCTAATTTTTTAAAAAATTTTATTAATTTATTTTTAATTTTCAACATTTACTTCCATAAGATTTTGAGTTTTAAATTTTCTCCCCTTCCCTCCCCACCTCCCTTCTCAAGGCAGCATGCAATCTGATATAGGCTCTACATATACATTCCTATTAAACATATTTTTACATTAGTCATGTTGAAAAGAAGAATTATAACCAATAGGAGGCACCACAAGAAAGAAGAAACAAAACAAAACAGAAGAAAAAAAAGAGCAAATAGTATGCTTCAATCTGCATTCAAACTCTATGGTTCTTTCTCTGGGTGTGGATAGCATCTTTCATCATGAGACCTTTGGAGATGTCTTAGATCCTTGCATTGCTGAGAAGAGCTAAGTCTATCAAAGTTAGTTGTTGCACAACATGGCTGTTACTGTGTACAACGTTCTCTTGGTTCTGCTCACTTCACTTAGCATCAGTTCATATAAGTCTTCCCAGATTTTTCTGAAATCTGCCTGCTCATCATTTCTTATAGCACCAACAGTATTCCATTACATTCATATACCACAACTTGTCCAGCCATTCCCTAGTCGATGGGCATCCCCTCAATTTCCAATTCTTTGCCACCACAAGAAGAGCTGCTATAAATGTTTTTGTGCGTGTGGGTCCTTTTCCCATTTGTGTGATCTCTTTGGGATACAGACCTAGAAGTGGTATTGCTGGGTCAAAGGGTATTCACATTTTTATAGCCCTATGAGCATAGTTCCAAACTGTTCTTTAGAATGGTTGGATCAGTTCACAACTCCACCAACAATGCATTAGTGTTCCAATTTTCCCACATCTTCTCCAACACCTATCATTTTCTTGTTTTGTTGTGTTAGCCAATCTGATATGAATGATGTGGTACCTCAGAGTGGTTTTGATTTTCATTTCTCTAATCCATAGTGATTTAGAGCATTTCTTCATATGACTACAGATAGCTTTAATTTCTTCATCTGAAAACTGCCTATTCATATCCTTTGACCATTTATCATTTGGGGAATGACTTGTACTCTTACAAATTTGACTGAGTTCTCCATGTATTTTAGAAATGAGAACTGTGTCAGAGACACTGGTTGTAAAAATTCTTTCCCAGTTTTCTGCTTCCCTCCTAATCATGGTTACATTGGCTTTGTTTGTGCAAAAACTTTTCAATTTAATGTAATCAAAATTTTTCATTTTGGAGTTCATACTCTAATAGAGGAGATGGTGTGCAGACAACTATGTACATAGATACAAAGTAAGTGGAAAGTATTCTTAGAAGGAAGGACGTAACAGGAGGGTGAATGGGAACTGTGGATATGAAATCCCATTTAAGAATCACCCCAAATCCCAATGTGAAGGGGAATAATTCAGAACTCAGGATCCTGGATGCCTTCTTGCCTTGCTTGTGGCGAATTCGTCAAGAATGGTGGGCATTCCTTCTTACCCATCCTCCCTTCCACCTCTCCTCCCCCATTCCTCACTTCAACAGTGGAAGAAAGGAAAGGAAACAAACATTTATTAAGTACTTGGTATTTGCCAAGCACTGTAGTAAGTGCTTTACAAATTTTGCCTTATTTTGTCCTCTCAGCAACCCTGGGAGTTAGGTACTTTTATTGCCTTCTTTTTACAGTTGAGGAAATTGAGGCAAAAAAGGAGAAGGGACTTGCCCAGGGTCACACAGTCGGTTATGATTATAGATCTGAAGCTGGAAGGGGAAGGAGACCTCAGGGGCCATCTAGTCTAACACCTTCATTTGATGGAGAAGCTGAGGCCTGGAGACATCAGATGGCTTTCCCCAGGTCATAGAGATAGTAAGTAGCAGAGTTAGGATTCAAACTCAGGTCATCTGACTCTAAAACCCAGCATGATGTTTAATCCCCCACATTGTCTCACAGAGCCATGGCCTCTATCTACAGAGTGAGCATGTTCCCAATTTCTCTTTCTCCTCTTGTCAGGCTCAATGTTTGCCAGACACTGAGGAAATATGTAAGTTATTTTGTGTATTCCCACTCTTGGTGTTTTTGTTTTCTTCACTATGTGGCATTATAAACAGACCCCCCTGGTGGAAAGGCAAGACCTGGAAAGAAGCATAATACTTTCTCTGAAGTCACTGGGGGAGGGAAGAGAGGCTCTAGGCCCCAGATGCCAGACTTCTGAGTCACTGGCCACAGCCCTACCTATCCCATTCTTATCAGGGAAGGGAGGAAGGAAGAAAGGAAGGAAGAAAGGAAAGAGGGAGGGAGGGAGGAAGAGAAGGAAAGAAGGAAGGAAGGAGGGAGGGAGGGAGGGAAGGAAGGAAGGAAAGAGGGAAGGAAGGAAAAAGAGAAGAGAAGGAAGTAGGGAGAGAAAGAGGGAAGGAAAGAAAAAAGGAATGAGGGAGAGAAGAAAAGAAGACAGGGAGAAAAGAAGGAAGGAAGAAATGAAAAAAAGTAGTTTAGGAAGGAAGGGAAGAAGGAAGGAAAGACTTATTAAGTGCCTGCTATGTGTCAGGTGCTGTGCTAAGTGTTTTACAATTATTATCTCATTTGCTGTTCACAGTAATCCTGGGAGGTAGGTTCTATTTTTATTGCCATTTTATAGTTAAGTAAACTGAATCAAACAGATATAAGTGACTTGTCCGGGGTCACACAATTAGTGAGTGTCTGATGTTGGATTTGAACTTTAAGTCTTCCTGACTCCAGGTCCAGTGCTCTAGGAAGTCATCTCCATACTCTAGGTCATCTTTCAGTCTTTAACAATGTAGGCTGTGAAAAAAAAATACTTTAAAAATGAAAGAGGAAAACTTTTCTATTCACAACTTCAACTAAATGACCTTGAAGGAAGGGCAAGAACAATCGTGCTGGGTGGAGTACCAACGGTCACTTGGGCAAGACCCCCATTTCTGTACTCCCCTCAACAGGATTGCTCCCCCAGGCAGAGTATGAGCATCTTCCCATTCTCTTCTCCTTGACATGAATCATTGCTGCCTTTCTAGGAAATACAGCTCCATTGCTAAATAATGGTTTCCATAATGAAAACGTGGATGATTTATTTATCTTCCTAAGGTTCTCCAAACAGGAGAAACTTAATCGGACTTGCCTAAACATTGTCTGTCACCCATGCCCCTTTAGACAGTAGTCATTCTGTGGTAAGGACATAACTAAAATTAATGACATAGTAAAGATGCCTAAACTTTGGTCCCTGGTAGTTGCGTGGAGGGGGGTCAGAGTGAAAAATTGCAGTGCAGATTTACCGTTTGGACAGCCATAAGTTTTAGTCACCAAGAATCTTTTGCTTCCTCCTTGGCTTTTGAACATTTAATCAATATTCACAGGATTGACTCAGAGCTTTTTTTCTCCCTTCCTCCTCTAGCTGGGGACTCAAGTTGGGGAGAACCAACCTATAAAATCCTCAGTGTGAAAAAAAGAAAACAAAAATTCTGGGAGCCCAGGTATAGTAGAAATCATTAGAATAATTCTAGCATGAGGTGGGGACAGGTGGGTGGGGGTGGTGATTGGAGGGGAACATAAAGAGGACGACTGGACTCACAGTAACAGATCTATGGTAAGAAAAGGTTTCTGTTGTAATAATATTGGGGTGGGGGAGGGAGGAAGGATCCATACCTGTAATTTATTGGTATGAGGGACTCCTTTCCCTTGTGCAGATTCAAGACACATATTAATATATTTTTAATGTGTATGTGTTGTCTCCTTCTATAGAATGTAAGCTTCTTGAGGACAGAGACTATTTCTCTCCTGTCTTTATTTCTCCAGCACCTAACCCAGTGTCTGCCACATAGCAGGCATTCTGGGTTAATTGATTGATGTCCACCTTACAGTCTCAGTGAGTTGCCTGGGGCACTGAGAAGTTAAGTAACTTGGCCAAAGGAACACAACTAGTGTGTGGCAGTTATAACTTGAATGTGAGTCTTTCTACTGTCCTCCATCTACTCTATTGATAATGATGAAGATGATGCAGATTTGGAGAATGCTGCCAGTAATGCCAATAATAATCACTGTCACTTATGTAGTGCTTTCAGATTTGTATAGCTCTTTGCATATTTTATCTAGGGACCATAAATCTCTGTGATTCACTCTGACCCTCAATCTCCCTGAATCTTTGGCATAGCGAGTGCTTTGTCACAGGGATTTACTGTCATCTCAGTGGCAGTGGGTTGGAGTCAAGGCTGGATCATAAAGCCCAGTACTATATCCTCAAGCTGCTGCATTTTGGCTCTCCAAGAAGCTGTCAAACATCCTTGATTTCAGAGGGTTGTGAAAAAGAGGATCAGGTAATCTGTGCCTCCCTTAAAATTGGAATTTCCCCCATTTTACCTCAGGAGTTTATGTCTGATTTTTCTTCATGGTTCTTTGAGTCTCAGCTATGGTGAAAGTCCAGTCCTTCAGGTGTCCCACTTGAGAAGCTATCAGCAGCCACCATCTCCCCAATCTCAACCTTAACCAACTATGGCTTTAGTGCAGTAAGAAGAACACTGGGCAAAGAGCCAGGGTTCTAGGTCTGGGTTTGGACTGAACTAGACTTAATCAAGTAACTTAATCAAGTCAGTCACTTGACCCTCTGAGTTTTGCTTTTTTCATCTATAAATGAACAATGTGTGGCCATCTCACTGTGTTGTTATAAGGACTAAAGGACAAAATTGATGCCAGAGGCACAATTAGTGCAGTTTGAAGTGACTTTTGTCCCAGGGCACTGGGAGGTGGGGTGGAAATGCTTTCTCCCTATAATAACTGCCATCCTTGGCACCACCTCTTGGTCCTCCATTGGCTTGCACTGCGGGCAAGATCCTGCTCCCTTCACCCATCCCATCATCATGGGCCCCTTCTGCCAGGCCCACCCTCTCTCAACCTACTCAGAGATGGGGACTCTATTTCCAAGAGGGTGAATTGCCTTTTCTCCCAATGGGCCTGTCCCTGTGGTTGGACTGTCTTCTGTACCACAGCCACCAATGGGAAGCAGAACTCAAATATGATGCTTAACATCTGGGTTTACTTCTGCTATAGGCCTGCTATATGATTTTGGGAAAACCATTTAACTCTTTGTCAAAAGTCCACCCTTCCCCTCCATGGCTCTAAGGGAGATCTAGATAAATGAGACGCCTCTTATTTTACTACATATCGCTTTCTTCAAAAGAAAGAGACTTTCTAAATTCCAGGTATGTGGATTGGCACACATCTGTGCTCCTCAAGATGGCATCGCTGATTATCACATGGTCAGCAGGCTATTATTTATATATTGCCCACTAGGTACCAGACACTGTGCTAAGTGCTTTACAGATATTATCTCATTGGAGATTCACAAAATCCCTGGGAGGTAGGTACTATTATTATCCTCATTTTTTACAGCTGAGGAAACTAAAGCAAACAGGGGTTAAGTGACTTGCCCAAGGTCACATAGCTAGTGAATATCTGAGGCTGGATTTGAAAACTCAAGTCCTCCTGACTCCAGGCCCAGCACTCTCTTCACTCCACCACCTAGCTGCACCTCTATGTACAAATATTCTGCAGACCCTGGTGCTGTTTGAGACTTTGCCCTGTTCATCTCAAAGTCTGTCTAATTCTTTTATTCAGAGATCCAGCCTCTACATCTATTCCCCATCTAGTCTAAGTGCACTGGATTTGACCCCAGGTTGATTTGACCCCGTTCAAAACCCTGTTCTGCCACTTACTACCTGTAGGAATGTTGATAACTTTCAGGACCTAAGTTTCCTAATCTGTATTATAATAGAGCTGAATTAGACGGCCTTAAACTTCCTTCCATCTGTAAATATATAATCTATAATCAAGTATAGATACCTGATTCCCATCAAGTCTACTGAACCCAGACGGAAAGTTTTATCATGACCCAGACTCATGTCTCTCATGATGCTCATCTGGGTTTAGCAATAGGATTAGTAAATTCAGGTGAAGACTGCTTAGTCAAATGATCATGAATGATATCTTCTGTCTCCCTGGTCTGCATGGCCAGATCATCTTGAAGGAAGGAATCCTCTTCTTCTCCTACTGCTAAACCCTTTTCTCCTCCCTCTATAGTAAAAGGAAAAGCTACACTTGTGCTCTGTACATTACCCCCAGACCAGTGGTCATAGAACCTTGAAGGAACCTGACAGGCTAATGGAGCATCAGGGCAGAACCTTTAGGACTCAGTCCTAAGTCAACCAAGGTAACAGTCTTTCTCTTCACTATGATGGAATTTTCTTACAATGATGCCATTCATTCTGACATACAGTACATACTCTTCATCAATCATGGGCTTCCCCCAGGATAATCAAGTACCTACGTACCTAATTGTTGTCTTGCCTCCAAAAAACTAGTTTGTCAAACTCCAAAACATCTAGGTGGTACAGTGGAGAGACTGCTGAACTTGAGATCCAGAAGACCTGAGTTCAAATACTTCCTTAGATATGTCTCAACTGTGTGACCTTGGGCAAGTCACTTAATCTCTGTTTGGCTCAATTTTCTCACTTGCAATATAAGGATAATAATAGCACCTAGCTCCTGGCATTTTTGCAAGGATGAAATGAAGTAGGATGAAATGAAATACTTATAAAGTAAAAAACTTAAAGTGCTATATCAATGCTGGCTATCATTATCATTAATAATAATAATTATTATAATAATTAACTACCTGAGGTGATTAAAGATAGAAAGCCCGGAAGGCCAGTGGGATGGGAATTGCATGTCCTCTAAGGACATTATTCCCACTTTTCACCGTGAAAATGTTGTATATCAGCATACCACCCAAGCAAATGTGTCTCTGCCTCTCTCAAACAGGGCTGGGTAAAGAACTTTCATTTTGGATCCTTAGAATCAGAGTGGTTCTCATTCTTAATGGTAAAGAACAATCAGTTGTTAAACCTAAGAGGACATTGGAGGAATGTCTTTTGAAGAAAGAAAAGTCTGCACAGCATTTAATATTTAAGCTTGAGGGAATTAAAGTTTATAGCATCATAAACTATTTTAAATATTTAGAGTCAATAAGGATAATCCAAGATATGGCACTTGATGCATAGCAGCTTGCAAAGAAAAAAAAAATACTTGAATGCAGGAAGTTTAAATTCATGTCCTGTCCTAGTGGTTAAAATGAGGCCAAAGCTATGTGGTCCATCAGCCCAACCCTTGGCAGGCCAATTGCCAGAAAGTTGTCTGGATCACTGTGTAATCCAATTCACTCTCTAAGGTAGCCAGGATGATAACAACAGAATCAGATTGATTCCTGACAAGCTAACCTTTGCATCACAATCAATCATTCAGACAACCTCTCATACCCAATGGAATCAATTGTAGTTTAGTTGTTTCAGACAAAAGTTGTGGGCATGACTTGTGAGGAATGGATTCTTTGAATGCTTGGACTCTGATAATTTCATAGGGTTAATTATATATAAATGTATTTATTTAATTGATGAACATGCATGCATACCTCCAAGAGAGGAAAAATCATAGAATCAGAGGCTTAAGCTGGAAGGGATTTTTGAGAGTGACTAATCTTCATGTTCCAGAGGAGGAAACTGAGAGCAAGAGAGGTACAATGATTTGGGTAGCACCATGGGCTCCAATGTTGTTTCTGCACATCTCAGATGGTTAAGCAGCTGGTATTTCAAAAAGGAACAGCTGGTTGATGTCAAACACACTGGCTGGCCAGAGTGTGCAGTATGTGCTATTATATAGCAGAAATGAAAGTGGATGTGTGCCTGCTATCTAGTTTTCATTATTTTAGACAGGCAAACCAGATAATTGGAGCCAACCCAGTTCACTTTGTCTTATGTGGACAGCAAACACTAATTGGGAGTAGGAGTAGCGGCTACTCTTGCTCTGACTTCTCCCTCTCCCCACCCTCCCTTTCTCTCTCTCCTCTCTCCTCTCTTCCTCTCTCTTCTCTGTCTCTCTCTCTGTCTCTGTGTCTCTCCCCTTCCTTCTTTCTCTCCTTTCTCCCTCCTCTTCCCCCTCTCTCCTTTTCCCCCTCCCTCTTTTTCCCTCCCCCCCCATCCCTCTGGCTGTGCATTCCTCTCTCCCTTCCCCTCCCGGTAATGACACACCTCCTTTCTTTTGATCTTCATCTGCAGTTCCCCTCCTAATCCTAGTCCTGGGCTTCCCCTAAGGTGTGTCTCCTATGGCTGCCAACTATCTGTATGTTCAGATCTCCAGTGAGAATAATAAATATTTAATGTAAAACTGATAAGACTAATCACATACAGGCTGCTAGTCAACGCTTGACAGCTTTGAAAAGAGCTCTTCCAAAGAGAAAGCAATTAAGACTTGGGAACCCCAAGGGAAATATGAAATTCCTAGCAAACAGTGAGAGTCTCAGGACAGACTCAAAGAGCATAAAAGGAGAAGCCAGATTTAAACTTAGCAAAGTAAAAACACAAAATTGGATCAGGGCAGAGTTGATGATAGCTAAACTGAGAATTAGAAAGTGGGTTCAAAACTTCCT